TCCAGGCTGTCCAACTGATAAGGGACCAGGGGCTGCATATCTGTTGCCCACGCCAGCAGGGTTGCATGCCCCTGGACCATACCATGTGAGCCATGGACTCCCCAAGCTACCTGCCATACTGCTGCCCTTCCTGACTACTACACTGCCCCATGGTGCCAAGATGGGTGCTCCCTCCCACAACTGCATCACGTGCTCATGTGGCCCCAGGTTCACCCCCACCTCTCCAAACTATGCCAGGTCACCCTGCTACACCCCCGCAAGTAGGGACAGAAAACAGAAGATGGAGGAGGTAGGGGAAGCCCAGACACTCTGGCTGCAAGAGCAGCCAGAGCTATGGGGAAGCAGTGGCCTGGCAGGAGCCTGGGGACTGCAACGTAACTCCTTTTGTGGGCCACATGCATCCCACCAGCCACCAGTTGGACAGCACAGCTTTTATCCAGTATGGAGCATTTCCACAGTGGGAAAATGTACATCAGCTAGTTTTATACAGGTACACAAATAGAAAGGATGGCATCTTGATTTAAGCACTGGCCTAACTAAGCAGAAAACTTGGATTCTATCAATGATTTTCCTATAGAGTTTCTGATTAATCCTCAGCCAGTTGCTTAACACTGATTCAGTGTCCCTATCTTAAATGAAGAAAATAAGTTCCTCCCTTAGAGGCCTGTTGTGAAGCCAAATTCATTAAGATTCAGAAAATGTTTTGAAGTCCTCAGATAGGAGGTGCTGTCATTCTACATAAAAAAATCTAGTGGTGTAACCTTTAAGACATGTGAACTTATCATATGACAAGATTATATTGCCTTTACTCCTATCCTTCTCTCCTTAATCGGTTCTTTTTCTGCCATTGCTTTCCTCTCTTCCTTTCTTAATTTATTGTAAACTATAAAATGCCTTTGCATTGTGGCTCCATCTTTAGTTGTTTTTAAGGTGCTTTCATATCCATGGCACTAAGTAATAGACGTGTGCTAAATAATACCTTGATGTCATTAAAAATAGGATGAGAAAAAGGAGACCTCACTGTGATTATGTTAGACATGCTATAAAATGTCAGGATTATGCTGGATGATCTAGCGGGCATACCATGGAGCCAGAAAGTCAGGAATTCTTGAGTCCTGTTTTAATCTCTGCCAATGGTTCACTGGATGGATTTTGCCAATTCTCCCTTATGTTTTGTGTTCCTACTAATATTAATTATTTCTATTACTTGGTGGTGTAGATTAGACTTCTTATAGCTTCTGGGACAAAACTGGTGAGCAGAACCCAGAGATATTCATGAACTGGTAATATGGGCCATCAGAGAAACCCATCTTTATCTTTCTTGAGTGAAGGAATTCTAGAATGGACAATTGCATGAGAAGAATAAAAATAATTGCTATAGAGGTTTACATCAGAAGCTATGTTTTACTTTCAGCTGATCTGTAAAGAGGGAAATTTTAGAGAAGCACATCCCATATGTCTTTTGGCTGAAGGCACCTCAAAAAGATTTGGTGTGATATGTAACCTTTCTGTCAGATGATGCTGGCAGCAACAGGTTCAAAGGATTTTGGGTCCCTCTGAAAATTAACAAACAAGAGCAGCCCCTACATGGAAACCCAGGAAAACTAAATACTCTAGCTCCCTTAAAAAGAATTTTTCCTTGCTTAAAAGTAGCAGAGTCTAAATTCAAAACAAAGACACACTTTACCAAGGTATATAACATGAATTTGGGAAAACACAGCAATAATATGCACAAATAAAACAAAAGACCTACCCTGATACTATTCTTGGCAGCAGTCCTTTGGCAATGTGAATGCCAAATAAGCAAATATACCTTAACACTTTACTCCCCTTTTCCACTATGCTCCATGGGTTTTGGGTCAGTAGCCAGGCATAGTTCCAGTTCCCCACTTGATTATATTACTTCCCACTGTATGAGTATGAAGTGAGCACTCATTAGAATTTCCCCAGTTCTGCAGCTTCAGTGAACAGCCACCCTGGTTTCCTTCTTGTCCTTCACCACACATGGCAGAACTGTCTCTTTTCTATTACCTCTGAACTGTATCTTATCATGGAGACACATTGTTATGGCATCTGCCTCATCACCTGTCAGTGACCAAGGACGATTTGTGTCTATAAAATCAAATTTTGGAGGACACAGAAGCCTGGGTACAGAATCTGGTCAAACAAATTTAACAGTTTGGGTATTTGTCCTTAGAAGACTAACAACCCTTGGCAAGTCAAGCTGTCACAATTAAAAAAAAACAAAACAGTTTCAACAAATAACCCAGCCCATAGAAGCAAAGCTAGCTCACCTCAACAGTAGCAAGCTGGACTTGCATATTTTTGAACACCTACCTTTCAAATCCTGCTCAATTGTCTTGCATGGACATGAGAGCTCAGAGGTTCCTTGCTGGCAGGTCTTGTTGTTCTGCTCAGGGTCACATTGATTGCCACATTTTGAGTCAGGAAGGAGTTTTTTCCCCTAGGTCAGATTGACAATAACTGTGAGAGTTTAGTTGTCCTATGTAGCATGGGCCACGCTCCTATCCCTTGAATCATGTGAGCTTACATTAACCAACAACTACTACCATTCATTGCAGTGACCGGGCATTGCCAATGTCTTCAACTCATTTGCTTTCACTTATGGCATGTTACAGGACAGGGATTCTCAACCCAGGTGCCATGGCACCCTGGGGTGATTTAAGATCCTTTCCAGATTGTCACAGGGTGCCATGCTAGGCTAGCACTGTTAGGTGGGCAAACATGATTCACAGAATAAACGCAGAGATTTCAGATAGGAATCTGTAGTGTTAGAAACATTCTTCTCTGTTGTGATCTTTCTGAGTTCTTTGCACCAAAGAATTGCTCTTTTATTGTTCCTGTAGTCAAAAAGCACGTGAAAATGAAGAGCTGGCATTTTTATGCCACTAATTCAGGGTTTGCAAGCAGTTTCAGCAAGGCTTTATTTAGTGGTGGCTTTCTAGGTGGAGAGCATATGCAACTAAAATTTCCATACTTACCACTGTCCAGCAATAGATGGTAGCAAAGAGCTCTTTCCTTAAGGATCTTCTGTTTGAGCTATTGCCTGCGCTCTTTCCTGCATTGAACAACAGATGGCGGCAGAGAGCTCCTTCCCCGGTAGAGTTCAGATCTGCTCTCCTGTTTGCCAACAAATAGTAGGAAACTCCCTGCCTTCTGTAGCTTCAGGCCGCAGGGCTTGGGATGATGACTTGTTGGTAATTAAAAAGATACGTATCTTTCAGAACACCTAGGAAAAATGCATAGGTATTTCCCCCTTTTAAAAATCTTGATAGTGTTATGCTTAGTTTTTTCTTTTGTTCAAGTGAGCACATGCTCATAAATAAGTCTCTAAATGCTTTGTCACCCAGTGGTAAGGCTAAGGTAGAAAATACCAATATTACCCACATCATTGTTGTGGCAAAGATGAGCTGAATCACCTTTGCCAAGTCCAACCCCAGCCTTACAATGAATGCCTAGGACAGAAGGAAGGGCACTGCCAGCCAAAGGCCTCTCTGGAGAAAAGGTGGGGTAGTTTCAGCTGTAGCCTTAAATTTGCACCCCCTTCCCCAGGGAGTTTCAGTGAGACATTGCATTTTTTGCAGCTTGTCTTGACATCAAGAGCAATTGCTACATGCTACTAAACAGCTACCATTTTTCACCTCAGACATGGCTGAATTTCAGGAAGTGACTCCTGTGCATGAGTTTGCATGGGTAGCCCTTTGGGAAGGAAGGCAGGCAAGTGTGCAAGAGTGTCACCATAGCTGATTAAGGTCTATTTTAAGAAAAAAATTGAAGGCAAATCAGCCTGGACTAGCACCCAAAGCAGTCTCCAAAGGGAACCATGGGCTTTGTTATAAAAAAGACCAAGAAATAAAACCCCTCAGGCCCTTCACACTGACTGTACGGCATTTGGGTGGAGGGGGGAGCAAAGTGTGATCTGGAGGAGTGACAACACACTCCCCTAAAAGGAGGACCAAAGAGCCAACATAGTGCCCTGCGGGGCTCTTCAGGGGCAGGGAAGAAGAGGCTAGTGCACACAGAGGCATTTTACTTGGCATGGATGGGGCAGACAGTGGGGAAGGGGCTGGGGCTGTGCTGCCACAACAAGGACTAGGCCCCTCATGGGTCCCCCACCATCTGCCCTTGGCATGCCAACATCTTAAAAATTGAAGTTGGGGGTGTTTTTGGCACTCTGCCCAAAAACATTGCTGACTTGCCCCCTGGGCTAATGGGAGGGCAGTGAAAGAGGGGCTAGTGACAGCTGGGTGGTGTGGGGTGCAGGTGTGAAGGCAGGGAAAGGGGAGGCTAGTGACAGCAGGGTGGTGTGGGGGGCATTGGGAGGGCAGGGAAGGGAAGGGTGCTAGTGACAGTGGCTGTGGGGGGGGTGAAGGCAGGGAAGGGGACAAGTGACAGCAGGGTTTTGTGGGGGGGGCTAGTGGCAGTAGAATTGTGTGAGGGGATTTGAGGACAAGGAAGGGGGACAAGTGACAGTAGGGCTGTTTGTGGGGTTGAGTCTGAGGGCAGGAAAAGGAGGTTCGTGACAGCAGGGTTGTGTGGGGAGGGGCTGTGAAGGCAGGGAAGGGGACAAGTGACAGTTGGGCTGTGTGGGGGGTGTGAGGGCAGGGAAGGGGGCTAGT